ATTTCATCGTTAAGATGTTTAATCTCATGGCGATATGTTTCAATAGAATCCACTTTTTTACCAATTAAGGGAATGGTTTTGTGAGTTGGACGCAGAGTAAAGAATATGATGTAAAATCTGATCAAGAAAATTCAGGAACTACGAGTAAACAAATCATAAACATTGATGATGATGATGATGATGAATATACTAGCAAAAATGTAGTTCATGTCAAACATGGAGAAGATTTTAAAAAGGAAATCGATGCTAATACGTATACGCATCCAGCGTTTATAGTTAAAAACCCTATAGTTTGGATACCACAAGATCTTACTGGATTATATTTAGAAGAATTTTCAGGATGTCAAGAATTTGGATTAAATGTTACTTATAAAGGCGCTATAATAAATGAAAAATTTAAAGTTGAAGTGGATCTTGAAACTGCACCTAACATTAAAGATGAACTTTACGTAGAAAGTTCGGAAAGTTCGGAAATAATGATAAAAGATTCAGCAAATGTGACTGACTAAACTTATTTATTTTTTAATAATTTTATTATTGAAGTAAATTTCAATAATCAATGTCTTCTGTGTATTTTTTTTTCCAGCGTATTCGGAGATATTTCCCTGTAATATTCTGTACATTTGTTAGTAAACGTATGATGCAAGGTCATTAAAAAGGTTTGTCAAGTTTTTTATGCAATAATGCTGCTAAAAAAGCTTGATTTATTTGTTGTTGGAAGATTCATTGTGAAATTAATGAATTTTCATTTGAAAAAACAATGAAGTTATTTTTAATATAAATAGAAATCTGTAAATAAAATTTTTAAGTTATACCTAAATTTTGGGTAATCCAGACTGACATAAATACATTTTTTTTTCTTTTTAAGATAAAATGTCCAGGTCATCACTTGATGCATTCAACTAGAATGTCTTATCAAACCAATTATATGTATATATATTATTTTTATACGCCTATTTATTTTGATTCAATATTTTGTTCTATTGCTATATCTCAATGATATTTTGTTCAGAGGATGGATGGTTTCACTTATTTCTTCTTTTTACTCGTTAAAATCTTTGAAAATTTTTTTTAGAGTTACTGTATATACATTATTCTCGTATTTACATTTCGTTATACTGTATAAAAAAAAAAAAAAATATTTTTTCAAAATAGTTAATGGAATAAAAAGCTGTACAATATTATCTTAGGAATATATGTTTGGTAGAATGTGCAGTTTGGAAAAAAGTATTCCGGATTTTTATCATTAATAACAATAATATATATCTTTGAAAAATAATTCTGGCCAAACTCTCTAACGTTATTAAATTACTTATCTATATAAATGATATATTCTGAGTAGTACATATACAACTACAACTCTAACAAATTATTAATATAGCATTATCTTTCTACAAACTTGCAAAAATTACTATTAACTTAACAAAATTATTTTTTTGTACTAATAATAATATCTCTAACAACTTTTTTATATACTTTAATAATATTATCTTGAATCTAATTAAATCTAAAGATATTTTTAGATTTCTCAGATGCTACTTTACTATATATAAAAACTACATATCTACTTATAGCATAATAGAAGTTTGTTTTAATTAGTTGTTGATCTAGATCATCAGATTAAATTTGATTAGTTAGTAGATTATATCTAATAATATTTGTTATATAAAGTTGTACAAAATTCTTTTTTTAGATAATATTGCAACTCTAGTTATCTATATAATTAGTAAATATTTTTTTACAAGTATGTTCTTCAAGTTCTAAAGAGTCATTTAAAACTTTTA